ACTTACAAGTGGGCCCCAATAGGTTATAGGCGCGCCGATTTGAATGGCAGGTATAAATTGGCTGCATGCCATCAGCAGGAAGTACAGATTGAGGAAGAACTTGAACTGTTGGAAGAGCACCTAAGGAAACAGTAATAATGTTCATGCTATTCAAAATTCGAAATTAAACAGCATACCAGTGGAACGAAGCTGAATATGTTATACTTTTGATTACAGACTTTGTTCGGTGCAAAAGAAGCTCCGTCACCTCCAACAGGGCCGTAGCCAATTCTCACCGTACGTGAATGCAGCACGCGACGTCGACCAAACAGCATTCGGCAGCATCTAAAGCTTGTATGAAAACTAGAGGGATAGTTTTGAATCATTGTAGAGACCTTCGATTCGTTTATCTTTCCATTTGGAATGAATCGAGCTGAACAATTTTCAGTATTTTATAAAAGTTAGAGTTTTACCTAGATCCTTTCAATGAAAAACATTGATTGAGGGTTCTCTTCAAAGCCAGTTGATAACTACAATGTACAATGTAAGATGTCTGCTCTAGGGTGGGGTTGTATCTCGTGTTCTGTTTAACATCTACACCGCTGAGCCTAGGAGCTGCTCTTTAGCAGCGAAGTGTCCTGTGTTCCTTGTGTTGTATTTAGACTTATACTACACTACAGGCTCACATGTTAGTGACAGTGATAGGCCTCAAATTGCACTAAATGATGCGTACAGCTGGTCAAAAGCAATATAAAAAATTCTAAGAAGCCTAATTATTGTTACGAAACTGATGGTATAGCATTACCAAGAGAATACTATTTTAGAATTTTTTCAAACGTGCACCTGGTTTGATGAGCATTGCAAGATAACTACCACTAAAGAAGTGTGACAAAGTTTTTTTTTAGAAAATTTTGAACACTACTGTCCTCTTGGAAGCTCACAGTCCTCAACTTGAAGAATTCGAATATTGAGCGACGAAACTGCAACTAAAAACTGTTTAGCTTGGTAAGATTTTACTCATATGTTAGGTATGGAAACTTTAGCACAAGAAAGAAGAAATTTGTTCTTATTACGGTCCATCAACTGCTATTTGTTAGTTGATACAACCCATTAATTTTCCCTTGCTACAGAGGTATCCGTAACTCGCGATAGAAACAGAAATCTGGTACAGATAGAAAAGCGTTAGGAGATGCTATTTTATATGTAGGATACATACTAATTGGAAGAAGCTCATAAGAAAACAAGCCACACCAGCCAATTCTCTCAATTTAAACGCATTCTAAAAGTAATTGCTTCCACCAATATCTCCCAAACTACATTTTCCACTTGAATATTGCTTATTTCTTGTTTTGCTTTTCTGTCTACTAACACAGTGGTTTTGTTTTGTTCAATGTCTCCATAAGATTTCCTAAGTAACAGTTAAACAGTAAATAATACGCATCTCATATGTTCACTGAAGCGTAACCTGATTTAAATGAATCTTTTTATGCCCACTGAAGCGCAGACACGTCTCTTTATTTATGCTTACGTTCTCAGAGTAAAATGACTACGATGAATGAAAACCCCACATACATCAAGATGTTGAATTATTAATCACCAATTTTACCTGACTGTTCCGCTGCTTCCATAATGGATGGGAGAGCGATCATTTTCAAGAAATCACATGGATGGAATATTGTATGGGCATGTTACATGTGGATGACGTTAAAAGAACATGTTCGGATGGAACAGTCACATGCACTCGAACTTTTGGGTTCATTTACACTTGAGATTTCTTTCTTTCCTTTCAATAAAAATAGCTGAGGCGAAGCATGGTTATAACTTAATGTGAATTAAAGCCTAGGAGTGGTTATAAAAAATCGGAGGGATACCCGTGGGGACATAATAACTAAAAATATTGTCATAGAGCACCTAAACGCAGGTGCATATGCCAAGGCACCCACGTGCATATACATATTACTGGTTGTCTCAAAAAAGGTAGCGAATAAAAAACAAACGCTGAGACGGAAAGCGAGCTGTATTAGGAAACGATAGCCCGCCACTATTTGTTAAAATGACACCAATCAAATACTTCATCAATTCCTTCAAAAATAAACCCCCTACTTTGAAGACATGGACCTATCCTTGTCTATCTGAAGTTCAATTCTACAATATCAAATTTGCATTCATAAATCTCAGTCTCAAGAAAATCGATAAAACCCTAATCTTTATATTCCAAAGGAATGCGCACTGTAAGCTTACCTCAGTCATCTCATTGACCACAAATATTTTGAGACTGACAATAGCATTTAAG